ATATATGACAAAGGACCTGTATCCAGGCTATATAATGAAGTTTCCAAACTCAATAAAAAGAAGACAAGGAATTCAATTTAAAAATGCGCAAAAGTCTGGACAGATCTCCCAAGAAGATATACAGATGGCAAATAAGCATAGGAAACACCATACTCCTTAGGGAAATGTAAATTAACACCAGGAACTATCCATTCACACCTACTAGGATGGTTCAAACAAACAAGAAACAAGAACTGACGATAATGGCAAGTGGTGACAAGGATTTGGAGCAACTGGAACCCTCCTCATCCACTGCTGGAGGGAACAATAAGTGGTTTAGCCACTCTGGAAGGCATCTGGTCAATTTCTTAAGCAATGAACCTTACACGTACTTAGTGATCCAAAATCTACTCCTATGTTTATACCCAAGATAAGTGAAAATACGGTAGACCTTTGAACAAGTGGGTTAGGGGTGCTACCCCCTGCGAAGTTGAAAATCCACATATAACTTTTGGCTCCCCAAAAACTTGACTACTAACAGCCTACTGTTGACCAGAAACCTTACCAATAACAGAAACAGTTGATTAACATGTATTTTGTGCATGTATTATATACTATATTCTTACAATAAAATAGAGAAAAGAAAATGTTATTAGGAAAATCATAGGGGCGCCTGGGTGGCTCAGATGGTTAAGCGTCTGCCTTCGGCTCAGGTCATGATCCCAGGGTCCTGGGATCGAGCCCCACATCAGGCTCCTGGCTCAGCGAGGAGCCTGCTTCTCCCTCTGCCTCTCTCCCTGCTCATGCTTTCTCTCTCTCTCTCTCTCTCTATCTCTGTGTCTCAAATTAATAAATAAAATTAAAAAAAAAATTAAAAAAAAAGAAAAGTCTGCATCTAAGTGGACCCACACAGTTCAAGCCCATGTTATTCAATGGTCAACTACATATGTTCATTCAAAAACTTGCAGACAAATGTTTATAGAAATTCTGCTCATAATCACAAAATACTGGAAACAACCAAACCAAACGTGCATCAACCGGTGAATGGATAATTTGTGGCAGATCCATACCATGGAATACTATCCAGCAATAAAAAAAAATTGGGGGGAGGCGGCGCCTGGGTGGCTTAGTCAGTTGTCTCTGACTCTTGATCTCAGCTCAGGTCTTGATCTCTGGGTTGTGAGTTAGGCCCCAAGTTGGGCCCAGCGCTGGGCATGGAGCCTACTTAAATATTTTGATTGACTGACTGATTGATTGATTTGCCAGGGGGAGAGAGAGAGAGCGCGAGCGCACAAGCAGGGGGAGTGGCAGGCAGAGGGAGAGGGACAAGGAGCCCGATGCGGGGCTCGATCCCAGGACCCTGGGATCATGACCCAAGCCGAAGGCAGACGCTCAACCAACTGAGCCGTCCAGGCACTCCTGTGAAGCCTACTTAAAATTAAAAAAAATTTTTTTTGAACTACTGTGAAATAATAAGAAATATATATTTGGTCTCTGCCCAGGTTTCCTGTCACACAGCTCCAAAAACCCTAGGAATCTCTGCAGTGAAAAGTGTATGCTAAGAGATGACTATCTGCTGGGGACACCTGGAGAGCCTTAAGGGGGAACCAACCATGTGGTTAGAGGGTTGGAGCTTTCAGTCCCCCTCCCTGGACCGGAAGGGAAAGGAGAAGGAGGCTGAGTGAATCACCAATGGAATAGCCAATGATTTAATCACCTGTACCAACAAAATGAAGCCTCCATCAACATCCCTGAGAGTATCTGGGTTGCTGAGCACATGGAGGGGCTGGGAGGGTGGTGCACCTGGAGAGGGCATGAAGCTCCATGCCCCTCCCCTTATACCTTGCTCTCTGCATCTCTTCCATCTGGCTGTTCCTGAGTTGTATCTTTCCTAAGTTCTGTGACCAGCTCTAGGAAATTAACCTGAAGTGGGGGTT